AGGAGAGTCTATTCATCCTCCAAGTGTATCAGAGAATGTGTACCATTAGGCGACGTTCTCAGTTCTGAAGTGAATTTTCCTTAAGAATAGTTAGATATCAGGAGTGAAAAAAAATGACTGAGAGAGCGAAATGCATCGCTTTCTTCTCCCACGCAAGTTGAAACGTTGCTTAACGATTGTGGAGCTGCCAATGAATCGAAATTTTCTGTCTGAATCGACTCTTTCAGGATAAGCTCACACGAGGAGGTTTAAATGTGCGTAACCTGTGTGACATAATCACGAACGCCCCAACGAGCGATCCTGTCGAGAGGGTGATCATTTGATTAACTTCTACCAAACAATCTGCTGATTAGTACAGCATATAAAGGACACTTTAGAGAAATGTTGAGCTCAATCAAGATAGAAATGAAGTATGTTCATTAAGATGAGAAAAGTGATCGAATGGATTTATACGTTCTATCCGGATCCAAACGATTGGCTGCATAATGGAACGCTGACAAACAGCTACAAAGAGCTCATAGATGTGCTGAAGAATACAACTTTTGACGATGAGAACAATGATGAAAACGGTGCGTTCTCTTCACAATTCGTACTGTTCGTGAAATTGATATGACGATCTCTGGGATCATTACCATCACTCCAGGGCTAAGGAGTCCATGTTCAGAAATATCTCCTGTCAGTAGTATGCTTTAGTTAAAACATTAGCAAGTCAGTTGCTGTGTTTTCGGAACACACGATACTCTATTTATTGAGTATCTGTGTGATATTGAACACAGTTGAATCATCGACGGTCATGAGACTGATACTCCTAAACATGAGATCAGTAGTCTGTTACGGTTTGACACATTTGTGAAGAGAATGTATTCAATTTAGCTGCGACGAGAGGCTGGATGTGGCTTTGTTGCAATGAACTTGGTCTCATGCAAACTACCGACCAGGGAAGAAATGTCTTCGGAAGCATGCTTCCTCTAGAGTGAGTTTGGATTGTTTGTTCCTTTAGAGTTTAGGTCTTGGATGAATAGCCGCATTTGCTTATGCGGCAACCGAGGGATGAACCTCCCGAACTAGAGATGTCATATTGTGCCATATTCATAAAGACTCGTTTTTACGGTTCAAGATACATCTCTTTTGGAGGGATGATCCCAAGGTGCAGCTTTCAGTTATTACATCGACATTTGTATGGACAGTTTTGGTGATGATGTAAACATCACATCGATTCGCGACAGGAATATTGCGTTCCGTAATAAATACAAAGATGGAGAAGACTATAAGGTTCATCGTATTACGCTAATCGATTTTATTTTGTGAGAAAATGTGTTCATGTCTTGTTGTCATCGTCCAGTCTCGTACAATCCGAGAGCATTCAAGCATTCCGATACTCCCTGGAACTGGAAATAATTTGCCTTATGAGTGAAGCTGAATTTATATAGTAGTAGT